ACGTGAGCTGCAGGCGAAGTTGACGACGAGTTGCAAGCGAGGTGTCAATGAGCTGCAAGCGAGGTCATCGAGTTCGAGCAGGCGAGCTCGAGTTGAGGAGTTCCAGGCGAGATCGGGGCAAGATCTTCTGGTAAATCTTGGTGTGTGGCTCCCGAGATGTCAATGTAGCTACAGTGAAGATTGTATTTATTGAGGGATCTCAAGTTTGAGATTCGCTCTTGAATTGTAATTTCTTGTTAGATTAATAAGAAATTAACTGTGTGGCTCCCGAGGACATAGGCAGTTGCCGAACCTCGTAAATCTTTGTGTACCTTTTCTATTCTGCGTTTCTGCTGTTTTTAGGGGTGTTGCGTAGTCCGGCGGGTAAATTCCCAACAACAACTTCATGAGGGTTGTGTAAAATCAGCCCAAAGTTCATTGGGGTTTTTTGAATTAACCCAACAAAAATAATAGAATGCAACTTCTCCACTCTTTCAATTTTGGTATGAAGCACCTGATATTTGATTGACTTGAAGAAGAAAGGGTGCATTAAACCCCCCTAAGAAGAATATATTTTGCTCTTCTAGTTACTAAACACCCATTACTGTCAGTCATGAACACAATTTTGACTCACATTCTCATCTTCGGACATTGTTTTCTCAAAAGAGGCTGTACTTTCACTTTAGCTGTACATTTTATGTTTATATGGACGTTAATCCATTAGATATGGAGAACATTTATGCATGTTTTGAAAGACAAAGTACATTTGAAGGTGGCCCCTCAAAGGTCCTTCATTATCTAGAATTTTCGATCCAGTCTTGAGGAATCATGCATCAGCAGAAAGATCCATATTTACTCAGTTGCTAAGTTGGAGACTCCGTCAAGAGAGACAATGTTACACTAGACTCTTAAGACATTCGACCTCCGCCTATATCAATACATGTCAATGCTCTTAAGACAAATATTCCACTTGCCACAAGGACTGTCTTCAATCCTATATCCATAAAAAGAAAGAAATTTTCCAAATATTGAATGCACAAACAGTTGGCCGGACCTAGACTGTTGCAGCATTGCAAGGCGAGAGAAGGAAATCATTTCAGTACTAGCCATATGTCTCTGTTTCCTCTCTTAAACATCATACATAACTCTTCAGCTTGACAATGAACCACTCTCTATCCCTTATAAGTAGAAGCTATTTGTGAAAACGGCGAATGAATTGAGGAAGGAATTGAGAAAAACGTGAAGAATAAGCAAAATAGGCTCCACCACACCAGGGTGTGGTGTCTGCCATGGGTGTGGCAGAATCTGTCTTGTCTGTCATGGGTGTGATGTCTGCCACACCCTGGTGTGGCAGAATCTGTCATGTTTGTCATGGGTGTGATGTGTGCCACACCAGGGTGTAGCAGACTCGTTTTTAGAATCCTAATATGTTTGGGATTGTGTTTTGCTATAAATAGAGACACGTTTTTTAGGGTTTCATTGGCTTTTATTGGAGATTGGTTTGGAGATATTGGAGCACAGAAAAAGGAGAGTTTTGTGAGCTATTTGTTTAGGGTTTTATTTGGAGAGATTGAGAGCTTTGTGGTGAGATTAGTTTGTTCCTTCGAGTGATTTGTAATCTCAGTTTGTACTCTTCTTCTCTATTAGTGAAAAGCCCATCACCTTCTTGCCCCGTGGACGTAGGAAATTGCCAAACCACGTTAAACTATTGTGTTTGGATTTGTGCCGTTATTTTGGTTGTTTTGGTCTTTATCTCGATGTTTGGTTTGATTTTGTTCTCGAAGCACGCCCGTTTGTTTGTCCCGCTTCCACCGCGCACAACACTATTCAACTATTCATCATATCCCCAACCTTAGAAGCTATAAAAAAAACCATTTTCTTCTCAAAATTGTTTGTAGATTCTATAGATAAGAAACGATGAACCCTAAGAAGCTAAAAGAAAGTGTGCCTTGGCTAAAAGAGTCTCGTTAGCGCTAAATGATGCTCAACTCGAATCCAATGGAGGCCACTTCATTGTATACACATCAGATGAAAAGAGGTTCGTGATTTCTTTATCATACCTCAAGAGCTCTATCTTCGTAGAAGTCTTCAATATGTCTGAAGATGAGTTTGGATTGCCAAGTGATGGGCCCATCACATGGTCTTGTGAGGCAGCGTTCATAGAGTTTGTTCTATCTTTGCTCAGAAGACGAGGGTCTAAAGCAATGGACAGGGTGTTGTTAGACTCTGTATTCAAGCATTGTCTGTCTCTGTGTTCTTCCCTTTACATTGTGTTTATATTCTCTTCAACCACCACATCAGCAGAATTCTTAAGCCTTAAATGGTGTATGTGAGGCATATGTAATCTTATCAGTCTCATGCTGTTTGATTCATGTTAAACCTTTATCGAACAATTGATGTGAAAATTTCAATTTGTGCGTTAATCTATATGGAGGAACTTAGTGTGACTGCATCTTCCATGAGGAAAATGTTGAGCACTCTCAAGTCTTGAGAACCATAAGCCTTAACATGAATGGGGGAAAAAGTCTGACGTAAAGTCTATATATTGAAGGTCCTTGTTCAAGTTTGGATAATTAAGTTCATAATATATTTTCCCGTTTTCATAGTGTTGGGATAAACCCGGGGTCCAATAAAGCAGGGTCGCAGCAATAATAGAGCAAAAGTAGAGATAAAAAGTTGGACACACAGATTTACGTGGTTCGGCACTTGATTGCCTACGTCCACGGGCAAAGATAGAAGAATCCACTATGAGGAGAAAAACTCTGGAGTTACAAACTCTCTCTCTTTACAAGGAGAAACTCTCTCTATTTTTTCTCTCTCACTCTTCTATATAAGAAGTTGTTTCTGGGATGAGATTTCCTTAAGGATTTGGAGCCTATTTATAAGATTTTGAAAAATATTGTGCACAATAAAATATTAATATTTTACTGTAGCAGTGGGCCCCACCATTTTGTTTTATTTCCATTTTCAAAGTTGGTGGCTGGATAATTTAGCATGTGGGCGGATGAGGCTGCTGACAATCTCCCACTTGAAGATTTGATTGAGTATCAATTATATCTTCACACCATTCTTTCTATCTTGCCATCTTCATATTGCTTACGTCTCTGACAGACCATAGGAGGATCGACACCAAATAAATTTGTCAGTACTGACTTCTTTTGTCAAAAAATCTGCTAGGTTATCTTCGGTGTGAATTTTCTGCATATCACTGTTCCTTCTTCCACTTTTTCACGAACGAAGTGATACTGAACTCGAATGTGCTTGGTCTTTGAATGAAAGGCTAGATTTCTTGCCAAATGCAAAGCACTCTGACTGTCACAAAATAGAGCAATCTTCTTTTGTTCATGGCCGAGTTCCTCTAGCACCATCTTCAACCACATCGCTTCTTTACTAGCTTGTGTAGCTGCTACATATTCTGCTTCTGTTGTTGAAGTAGCCACAACTGACTGCAGTTTTAAAACCCAGCTTACAGCTCCGCCAGCAAGTGCAAACACATAGCCTGTGGTGGATTTGCTATTATCACGATCACCTGCATAATCAGAATCAACATATCCACTGACAATAAAATCAGATCCCCCATAACATAATGCAACATTTAAGGTTCCTTGAATGTATCTTAGAACCCTCTTTACAGCATTCCAATGCTCTTTACCAGAATTTACCATGTATCGACTAACCACTCCCACTGCTTGTGCAATGTCTGGTCTTGTACAAATCATCGCAAACATTAAGCTTCCCACTGCTGATGCATACGGCACTCAAGACATCTCCATCCTCTCTTCTTCACTGCTAGGACACATCGTGGAGGATAACTTGAAATTAACAGGAAGTGGGGTAGAAATTGACTTACAATCTTGCATGTTAAAGCGTCGTAAGATTTTCTTCAAAAAGTTCTTCTAAGAAAGCCAAATCTTCCTATTAACTCTGTCTCAGTAAATTTGCATCTCTAGAATCTTGTTTGCATATCCTAAATCTTTCATTTCAAATTCCCTAGCCAGCTGAGCCTTTAATTCTTGAATACGATCTTTGTTGGGGCTTGCAACCAACATATCGTTAACATACAACAATAAGATAACAAAGTTATTTTCACCAAACCTCTTAAAATATGCACAAGGGTCTGAATTAAGTCTGTTGTATCCAAGGCTCATGATGAATGAATCAAATCTCTTATACCAACACCTCGGCGCCTGCTTTAGACCGTACAGAGATTTGTTCAATCTGCAAACCAAGTTCTCTTTTCCTTTTTCTTCAAAACCTTCTGAAATGTTGTTTTCACATCTAGCTGCTCTAGATGTAAGTCAAATATAGCGCTCATAGCCAGGACAATTCTGACTGTTGTTAGTCAAACTACAGGAAAAAATATTTCATTAAAATCAATACCTTCTTTCTGAGCATATCCTTTTACCACCAATCTAGCACGATATCGCTCCACTTGATTATCGCCATTTCGCTTGATCTTGTAGACCCATTTATTTCTAATGGTCTTTCTTCCTTGTGGCAGTGACACAAGTTCCCCAGTCTTGTTCTTATGGAGAGCTTCAATTTCTTCCTGCATTGCTGACATCCACAAAGATGCATCTGTGCCATTTATAGCTTCATGAAAAGTTAATGGCTCTCCATCTTCTGTTAGAAGACAGTATGCAACATTACTCTCCGTAATATACTCCGAGTGCCAAGTCGGCGGTCTTCTCTCACGAGTTGACCTTCGAGCTTTTGGAGCCTCGGACTCGACTGGTTCTTGTACATCATGCTCCAATATTGCTTCAAAAGAATTCAGATTATCTTCTACCTGAACAGCTACAGTTTCTGAGTCTTTCCTTGAACTGATTTCTTTCTCTTCACTTTGTAGTTGGTTCTCTATAAAGATAACATCTCTGCTGATGATAACCTTGCGGGCAGTGGGATCCCACAGGCGATATCCATTTACTCCATCAGCATACCCCAAGAATATGCATTTTCTGGATTTTGAATCCAACTTTGTAATTTCTTGGGC